TTCAAAACTATGGGGCACTGTGTAACACAAATGACTAATAAACAATATTAGATAATTTAAGTAAAATCAACAAACAATAAAAACTTAATTAGCAACAGTCTTAACAATGGTCTTAATAATAGTGAATTATATTTAGCTGTTATGGATGCGAGCGAGTCATGCAGTTTGTGATTGTAGCCTGCAACCTTTCAACGTCTAAGTTATGAGTGGACCTATTTTCTACTAATGTGGTAGATTTCTAGACTGTCCACTAAATCTAAATTCTTTTTCCTTGACAGAATATTTTTGTGAAACTGTTCTTGCCGTTTTATTATTATTATTTTTGTTTTAGAAATAAACATATTATTTTAACATATTTTTTTAATTTAATTCTACTAGAAAAAGTTAATGGCTGACTATTGTCTCAGATAATTTAGTGTTGCAAGATACATTTAGGTCTGGAAGCACTGCACGTCCACCAGGGCTCCCAATTAGCTCTTCGTATAGGTTCAGAGTGTGTGTGAACACCTGCTGCTTTCTTTCCTCTTCGAAGTGCAGTATGGTCTTTATATTTTTTTAATTTTCCAAAACTATGGGGCACTTTGTAACACAAATGACTAATAAACAATATTAGATATTTAAGTAAAATCAACAAACAATAGACGCTTTAGCATATGATCCAGAATTGTTGTAACGCGACCGCGTCGATGAAGATACACTTTCAAATCTTCGAACCTCATCGAATCATGAACTACGAGAGGCTTTGTCTTGAAAATCTTCTTCACCGGCACCGGAATGTCATGAACCATCTTTGTAGGGCTACGTGCGTCAAAAAGAGCGACACCGAAAAAGCACTCATCTGTCATCTCTAAGAATCCATTCCAATCTGTATTAGTTAAAGGGCACAATCGTGAATTAATCTTTTTAATGGCTCGAGCGATTATAGGTGAAGGAATTGTATCTTCGGACACCGCCGGTAATGGTGCGGATTGCGTCACACTTCTAGGTGGCTGCAAAACGTAAGCACTCTTGGCCAGTCAAGTCGATCGTAGAGGTTGCATGGTAGATTCTGGTACTTGGTAATTCCCGATATTACTAACTTGTACAACTCGAGTTTGCGTATCGAGTGGTTTTTGAGAAAAAATTCACCGCGTGGTGACGGCAGAGTAGAATACATTTGTCACCAACCCCTATTCTTCCCACGGGTGTCGTAAGAGGCGACTTAGGGACTACACATCAAACATAGAATGGGCAGCAGGGCTCTCTGAAAAACATCAATCTTTTAAACTGCGATCTCCAACCCGCCTGCCAAGCGTGGGGATTATGGCAAAACTCTCCATTATAATGGAGGAGGCTCATAGTCCAGCAGTGGACTGTAAAGGGCTGTTGATGTTGTATGTTGCAAAAAACAATAAAAATTTAATTAGCAATGTACAGTCTTAACAATAGTCTTTAGAGTGTTCTAGACTAGAGTATGGACCCACGTATCTTAAGTCCGTTAGCCTATGGCATATTTCTTAAAAAAGTTTGTAGGGAATGTATAGATGCTTGATTGGCGCTTAGTTTTTCCTGGGTTCAGTCAGGATACAGGGGTAGGAAGTGGAAGTTTAGATTGGCCTTAACCTTGATTGGGGATTCAGAGGTGTTGGCTACGGTGATATTGATGGATTTACTATGCAGTTCGCAACGAGCAAGGAATCAGAAATGTGCTGGTCTACGATGATTCTTTAAGGTTGGTATTTTGGACGGTGCACTCAATCACCGACAATTAGAACTGGCTTTTCTTTTTTAAGACTTTAAAAGCTTCTTCTGTGAAGCCTGGTTCTGCATCCACCGTAGAGTACTGTATCTACTCGTAATCTGCAAATTGTTCTGGGGTGCGGAAGAGCTTTATTATAAATCTCTCTAACATATTTATTTATATTATGCAGCTGGAGAATAATAATGTAATGTAGCGTTTTTTTATATTTTTCTGATAACCAGCACAACTTGCCTCAACACCCAGTTCCAGCTTGACGTTGATTTACGGGACACCCTGTATATGGATTGTTGTATTCGTTCCTCTGAGATGGCCATATTAATGGCTTCGTTAAGCGACTGCGGAGCCTGACACCTAATAATGTTTGATATTCTAAAGAGGAGACCCATCACGAAGTGATGCAGAGCTAGGTCGGACATGGCCGCCGTGCGACCAGCGAGCTCCTTTTGTTTAGAATGGGAGAGAGATTTCTGTCAGCAATTGTGACAGGCAGGTCTCCTAAGAGCGAATTGAGAAACATTTTCGGCTTGGGCCTGACGGCACTCTTGCAGGTCCATTAATAAATGGGCATAATGTTTTCGTTCAGAGAACTGTGTTTTAAGAAAAGATTTTAGCTGGTCCCAGGATTCAAAATCTTTGATGGAGCAGGCCGTTTCGGCCTTGCCCTGAAGCTGGCACAGTATAACATATATTTGAAGAGGATGTCCTTTTGGGACTCCGTGGCCAGGTCATATGCATTATTACAATTAACTAGGAACGAGTTTAGTGTCTCCCGGTTTCCGTCGTATGGCTTAATGAACTTAAGCAAGATTCCAAGGTCCATTTCGCTGGACATTTTGGGGAAAACTTCTTCAATCTATTTTGAAAGAGATATTATTGTTTATGGGGACTCTTGACTTGGTAAAACCATGATTTACAAGTGGCAAAACCTTTTTAATCAAGGCCGAGACTCAATTGAAGATGAGCGGAGCCGGGGTGGCCTGTCGAAGCAACCACGACAGAAAACGTCCATGAATTTGGAAAAATCACATTGGAAGATGCTGTTAAAAAAAAGAAGCAGCTTATTTGTGTTTGTGAATAGTCACAGAAAACTTGTATGTCGTTAGAATAATTTATTGGAGATGGATGTGGATGCTAGTGCTTGTGAACTGTGGGAGTTACCGGGAGATAGAATAGATCGGCGAATAGACTCTGAATTGGTTTATTTATTTATTTAAAATCTTTATTGCACACATAAAAATACAGTGGTACAACAGGCGAGCTTAATGCCGTGTGGCATTCTCTTCCAGCTAACCAGAAAATTAAACAAAACAGAGAATTTAAGTAAGTAAGTTTATCTGTGGCTGGATAACTGAACACGTTGGTTTTTTAATTTCTTCCAAAAGTACGAAGTAATCCAATCCACAATTTTATTTTAATTATTCACATTCATAGACTATTAAACAATCTAAGTTCACATTAGGTTAAAAAACTATAAAAAATAGATTTTAAACGTCGCGTTAAAACCCGTGTCTTACTATTTTAGTATAAAAAAGAGGTCATGATAATTGCGCTGACCAAAGTCTCGCTACGAGTGCATTCCTCTCAGATTCCCCAGCAGCTAATGGGTTGTTTCTTCTTGTGGTACTTCCACATGTGTATGTGACATAATCTGTAACATAATTTTGTTTTGGTAATTATATCTTACTAAAATTATACTTATTGAAATAGTGAAATGAATACGAATTAATATTAATAATATTTTCTGGGAAAACTTGTTAACAAAAAGGAAGTTTTAAGAGTAAATAAATGTAGTACATAATTAAAATGTACATGTAACTTATTGTAACGCAGTTAGTAGCTTGTTGTAACGCACCCACCTGTTGAGTTATTATGATGCAATAAACATAATATATGACTATGAAAAGGGCAACCTAGTTGCATTACAAATGTTGTGTAAAACTACACACGAATTTGTGATTAACCCAGCTGTTATAGGGTGGTAATATAATTTTCTATCGACTAATAGACATCGCCAGTGCGATTTGTTTGAGAACCCCTATGCATCTCTCTACAGTATTCCGAGTCCGACAATGCAGCTCGATGTAGTATTGTTGCGGAGAGTCAGGTTCGGACTATTCCGTTTGCATTCTGCAATATAAACTCGGAATACTCAAAGTATGTATTTTGTCTAATTGTGTAAAACTACACGCGAATTTGTGAATAACCCAGCTGTTATAGGGTGGTAATATAATTTTCTATCGACTAATAGACATCGCCAGCGCGATTTGAGAACCCCTATGCATCTCTCTACAGTATTCCGAGTCCGACAATGCAGCTCGGTGTAGTACTGTTGCGGAGAGTCAGGTTCGGACTGTTCCGTTTGCATTCTGCAATATAAACTCGGAATACTCAAAGTATGTATTTTGTCTAATTGTGTAAAACTACACACGAATTTGTGATTAACCCAGCTGTTATAGGGTGGTAATATAATTTTCTATCAACTAATAGACATCGCCAGCGCGATTTGAGAACCCCTATGCATCTCTCTACAGTATTCCGAGTCCGACAATGCAGCTCGGTGTAGTACTGTTGCGGAGAGTCAGGTTCGGACTGTTCCGTTTGCATTCTGCAATATAAACTCNGCTTGCACTTGCATTAGACTGTACAAACTTGAGGTGTGGTATTTCTAACTGATTTTTCATTAGTTGTACAGAAGTTGTTCCCGTTCTTTTCAAGCCAGATTTTACACAGAGGATTGATGCAACCGTTTCATTATCGAGCCTATTGCGTTTATCTGTTTTGATATTTTTTAGATCACTAAATAATCGTTCAACAGCAGCATTCGAAAAAGGCAACGACATGAAATAGTTCACTAAAATTGGCAGTTGAACGAATTTACATCTGCTGTCAACATTTTTTTTTTCAAAAATTTTTTTCCAATAGCTTACCGTATCTATGGAATCATTACAATCCATATCGGACAGGAGACTTTGATTTCTCCATTCCTTGTCCAGCTCTGTTAAATCTACAGCAATGTGCGATGGAATGTATTTTTTCGCGATTTTGTACAATGATGTAGGGTGCAAATCAATGGCATTTTTCGGGTTTAAAAAAGACGAATCATTGTGCACATCTTCAAATACAAATCGTTTCTTGATTTGTACGATCGCTTCAATATAAAACAATTTTGCTGACTGAAAAATTTTCTGAATTTCACTCTCTTCTTTCTTTTCGATCTCTGTTAATAAACAGATCGCATCTACACCTAAATAAATATGTTTTAATTCAAGATGTTCTTCTGTCTGATGAGGATTGATTTGGTTAGCAGGGATTTGCTTAACATAATTTCTGTTCATGAAATTTAATGCCAATGTTTTGATTAACTCCTCAGTTTGAGTCTTCAATTCTGAGAACTTAGGATAATCAGCTTGAAACATGCAATTAAAATCATTAAAAATTCCAAGAGCGTAGTCTACAAAATGCATTTGGCTCTTTATCAAAGGGTTCTCCAAGGTTTGGAGAGTGTGACAGTTTGCATGTGTTGGATCTTCGTAGTTTAATATTCTCCAGTAACTCTTCAATGGCTCCCACTGTTCTAAAATTCTTCGCACGCATGCTTGAAGTGACAACCACCTGGTTTGACAAGCTCTCAAAATCTTGTGAGGTTTGACTTCATGGAAGCTTTGAAATTCTTTGAAAGCAGCAGAATTTTTAGGACTCCTCCCAAAATGATTGTATACATTGCGGCACAAATCTTCTAAAGAGTTGCTTAACTTAGTGCATGCCTTACTTGCCACCAGATGTATCATATGGCAAGAGCATTTTGACACGAATACTTGAGGATAATTTAGTTTGATTAGTTGAGACACAGAGTTATGCTGTCCCATCATGACTGCAGTTGTATCAGAACAAAAGCCTATCCAGTTTTGCAGAGGTACATTATTTTCTTTTAGCGTGTTAATCATTTGTGTGTACAAACCCACAGCGGTCCCGTCAGGGCAATCTACTACGTCGATCACATCTACTTTTGTTATAAAATTATGGCAGTAGCTGACTAGTATCGCTAGTTGCTTTGTGACGCTTACATCAGTTGTTTCGTCAATATAAACGGAAAACAAATGATTGTTCAGTTCATTAATAAGTTTATTATTAAAAAATGGGCGCAATCCATTCCTAATGACATTAGTGGCTTTTTGTTTCGCTAAAGAGATTTGCGATGTGATTGCCTTCTCTGGTAAAGATTTAATCAATTCAATTAAAGGTTCAATTGATGAAATAGGAAGATTGTTTTCGACGATATAAGAACAAATGGCAGCTTCGGTATTTTTCAGCTTTGTATTTTCTGTAACGAATGTTGTAATACTAGGTTGATTAATATTACTCTGTAGCCACGCCTCCATATTTTTTTTATGAGCTTTTCCATCACCATGCTTTTTAAGCTCTGATTTTCCCGCCTTCATAACCACATTGCACACCTTACAAATTGCATTATCATCCTTATTCCCATTTAATAACCATGCTTTGAACTCAGGTTGCTTAAGCCAATCATGCTGAAACTTCTTCTTAAATATCTTTTTCCTACCTTTTGCCATAGATTTTGAACTACCAATCTGCTTGAACTGCTTTTTTTCATTTTCAGTATTGTATCCCTCTTCTTCGTCTTCAGTACAGTTATCAACCTACAAAATACAAGAAGGTAATGAGCAAATTTTAGAAAACTCATTTATAAAGGTGATTTATTACAGAATATGGAAAAATATGAATATTTTAAAAATCTCGGCGATTGTCCGGCGAGGCGATCCTATAATTTAAGTATATAATAACCCAAGCAAAAGTAACTTGATTATATTAAGTAACATGACAATTACCGATTTTTCATTTTCGATTTCCATTACTGACGAAGTTTGAGGATCTAATTGTTCTTTCTGATCCTCGACATAACTAATGGACTGAAAACTCGTTCCGGGTTGAAGTTCATAAGAGCATGTACTAGTGCCGGGTCTTTCGGATGAGCTCAGAGGAATCTTTTCTTCATTCTGAAAAATTATTGATAGGTTTAGCAATCGCCATTCACTCAAATTTAAATTCCTGTAGCAATGTCAGGCAAAAATTTATTTAAAATTTTTCCCCGACTCAAATCAAAAAACCAGTTGGCAACATTCTTAGCACTTCAATCTTATCTTAACAATGATCGAAGGAATTAAACTTTTTTAATTAAAAAAATTTTTAACTCACCTGGAGCCTAATTCTCGGCCCGTGATATTTCTTAAATTGCGATATATATCGCATGAAAACAGTTTTTTTTGTATGGAGTTTCATTCGATATCCGCCATGTTTTTTAATATCGAAAATCCGAGAATAAGGCTCCTGTGGGGTGAATGGTAGTACAAATCTTTGCCTACCAATCAGCTTGGACATAAAAAAACAGTTTTTTCATAACATAACCTAGATATTTTTCATAACATTCTAACCTAGATTTTCATTGTGCACTAAATTATATACTGATTAATATAAAAATGGAAGCACAAACTTACCGATTTTTTAGCAGCAGTATTTATTAGCCACCGATCCATTTCTTTTCACATTAAACAACCGTCGCAATAAATATTTCTAGCTGTGATTATTTATTTGAATGGATCACCGTACCAACCACCATAGAACAAGTAGTACCAACAGTAAGGAAATTGNTACTCAAAGTATGTATTTTGTCTAATTGTGTAAAACTACACACGAATTTGTGATTAACCCAGCTGTTAGGGTGGTAATATAATTTTCTATCGACTAATAGACATCGCCAGCGCGATTTGAGAACCCCTATGCATCTCTCTACAGTATTCCGAGTCCGACAATGCAGCTCGGTGTAGTACTGTTGCGGAAAGTCAGGTTCGGACTGTTCCGTTTGCATTCTGCAATATAAACTCGGAATACTCAAAGTATGTATTTTGTCTAAATCAAGTGTTATTGCCTGTCATTTCAGGTGACAACTCTTCGTCCCACTTTATATTTTGCTTCCATAGCTCTTGAAGAAATACTTTTGCAGGCAAGACAGTTGGAGCCATGAAACCACAAGGGTCGTAAATAGAAGCAGTCACCTTCAATACTCCGCGTTTTGTATGAATGTTCTTGCTAGTTTCGTAAAATTGGGTTTTAGTCGCAAATCATCGGTTTTAGTATTCCATTCAATACCAAGTAATTTAATAATCTCTCTCTTATCCTGATCTTCTTGGGGAAGTTTTTGTATGAAATCATATGAATTAGAATTCCTCTCCCGGATATTCATTGATAAATCTTTGAAAGATTGTTTAGCTGTTTGATACAAGTTAAAACTATCTGCAACACTACTGGACCCAGTCACTAGATTGTCAACATAGATATTTTGGGCAATTTGTTTGCATATTTCGTTATTTGACTTGTTTAAATGGTATCTTATGGTAGCATTTAATAAAAAAGGACTTGATATTACTTCGAAAGGAACGCGACAAAATCTTAGATGTTCAGATAAATATCCTTAAAGAAAAACACATTTAATTTCTTAATAAACGATTAACATATATGTACAATAAATGTGACTTGAAAAAAGACCTCACTTTGGGCTCACCTCTGGGATCAATTAGACCAATTTTTATGGTTATAAAACCAAATAATGATCTCACGTGCCCTCTTTAACAGATGAATAGCGATTAATCCCAACTTAACAGTTTTATAGCCATAAAAGTTGGCTCAAGCGTAACTACCTATTTTTTAAAAAGTGACTGGATTCTTCTACAGACACATTTTTGGGGTAAAAACCTTTACCTTAATGAAATGAAGTTTAGAACTAGGCATTTAAATGGTGCCAATATTGGTGGAAAGTATGGGGATGCATACGTTTGAAAGTGCTTGTCGCAGAAGTCGANGGAGGGTCGATTTTTTTTATGACCAGTGTATTATATCCTTTAACTTTCACTTTAACATACTTATTTCATTTTTAAAATTTAGAATTTAAGAGTGGTAAATTATGATGTAAAAGTATTAGGCTCTCAGCCCTGTGACGCAACAAAATATTTCGTTTCTCTTCATATACATTGCCTGCTTCGAAGAATAACCGTTCACTGTATACAGTGGTTGCTGGAGAAGTTAAAAAAGTTCTGGCTAAAACAGCCAAGAGCTCATACTTTCCTTGATTTTTTGCCCACCATTTAAAAGGACTCATACTGCGTTGTAATAAAGTCTGATTCAAATATTTTTGTAATTCTGAAGCTTTTAGGACTTTGACTTTCTTCAGATATCGTTGACTGCTTAGTAGACGCTAACTCTTCGTAACAACTCCAAAATGCTGAATGAGAATCGTGAGATTCGCAAGTGCCCACATTTGTCATATTTTGTAATGGTGGTATTTCTTCTTCATCGCTGCTGCTATCATCACTCTTCCTGATATTGTTAGCGACGTCGACCAAGGAAATACGCTAATGACGAATTTATTAATTAGAATTAATTAGGAACGTTAACAGTTAGAAAATGTTGTAAAATAATCAATTAGAGTCGATTAGATATAAATAACATTACATCTCTTTCTCACATTATCTGTCATTTCGCTTGCACATCAATTACTCTTCCACACACTTCTGGAATATTCGAGAGAAAAAGAAACGGGACGGCAACATCGGACCTCTCGCTACGAACATTCCAGAACATGAGAGACAGAGACAGGAATATCGGGAGAGAAAGGGATGGATATAGCCCGGGGTCCTATAAATACGGAGCAAGGCGCTCCGGGCGACAGTTGAGTTAATTGTAAGTTTAGTTCGAAGTTTAGTTCAAAGAACAAGTGCTCCAAGCAACAAGTGATCTGAAGAAGCAAGAACTGAGAAAAGGAAGCGAATAATAAACGCGAGAACTCTCAGCAAGTGAAATAGTGGTTTTATACCTGCAAGTAGCACTTACGCCTGACATAGTAAGGGCAAGCTATCAACGGCAGTCATCATCGTCCGGTCAGCGCTCTCGAACACACATAAACGCATACAGTCCACTGCAGTCCACCGCAGATATGTTCTCTAAAAATGCTGACTTAATTGATTCAATATTTTCGGTAGAAAAGAAATTCAGTCGGAATCTGGGATCTAATAATGTGGCCAGTGTGTAATATTTGTCTTCTTGAATGCTTGCAAATCCCATCAAAAACAATACTTTATCAAGTCTCGCAACTCAGTTGTTCTACGGTAAAAAGTTGTGAGATCCATGTAATACCAAGTCGGTTATTAATTTATTCAGTCTCTACTTAAGCTACTTTCTGTCTTAATACGTCCAGTCCCTAAGACCACGATCGTGGTCCATAACAATTGAAAATCAATTGTGTCTGGAATCTCCGTACTCGAAGCATTAAGTTGTTACGTAATAATTAACAGCATCTTATAGTGACGTATATCAATATTAAAAATCTTTAACGTTTTATATAAATATATTGAGACTCGGCCATCGCATGAAAACACGTGTAAATTAAATTATTTAGTGCGATGGCCAATTGCATGGATCTCACAACTTTTTACCGTAGAACAACTGAGTTGCGAGACTAGGTTTTTTTAGACAAGTATTGTTTTTGATGGGATCTTATTTCTTTTTGTATTTTGTAGACAGTTCTACTTTTTTCCTTTTCGGTACCTTCTACTTATTGTATATATGTTTGTATATCTACCAGCAACGAATTTTCTTAAAGCCCTCTCTCTGACTTATGAACTTTTCTTATTTTTGTAGGTAGCCTTCCGTTTTCTCTTTTCCGGTACTACTTCTTGAGCTTCAGCTACAGTTTTTCTAAGAGCCAATATTTATAAATGCTTCTTAGTTTGTTGTATTCACAAATTGAGGATTCCTGCGCTTTAACACTTCCAAAGTCGACATTAATTAGATGTAAACCGCCCAGAGTTGTAACTCTCGAAAGTGCCACGTATGCTTGACCGGATGTGAATACTGCAGAACCGATATCCATCAGTGCATTATGTAGACTTAGTCCTTGACTTTTATGTATAGGCTATACATATGGGAAACTGTTCGCGATGAACATAAGCTCTATTAATAATTTCAAATTTAGTTTTAACTGGACAAAGTTCGTAAACATGTTCGTTATTAAATGTAATGTACCTATTTTTCTTAATGTTTTTTGTATTATCCGGATAAACCTTTACTCTTTGCACTATACCGATAGAACCATTAACTAAACCAAGACTAACGTCAATATTTCGCCTAAGCATGGCTTTTGCAGGGCCGGATTAACCATCTCGGGGCCCCTAGGCACAGCTCGTTTCGGGCCCCCCCTTTTCATACCACAACAACGCAATTTGGAAATTTTTACTGTAACCATTACGAAATAGAATGAAGGTACCATCATCATCAACAACAGACTTCAGTCATCACATTGCAAAGGTTTAGGTACGCCTTTCTTCAAGACAGTGAAAAGACTTTCGCCACAATCTACAGGACGAAGTATCGGAGTCATTTAAAAATGAATTGAAACAAAGAATAGGAAAATCTTGCATAAATTTATAAAGGCTCCCCTCTATCTGGCAGAATCTTGCTACGCAGAAACTCATTTGGCATAACTCACTTGGCATAATCTTTTTTAACCGAATATTTATAAGGCATAAACATTGTTAAATATAATCATCGTTTGGTAGAATGAATTACAAAATCCTGTTTAACTATGTAGAATCATAGGCATATGTTTAAAAGTCACTTATTTCATGATACGCTATTTTTATTTATCTGAACCCGATTTTCGTGAATGCAACAGTTTTTTTTAACTAAACGTTCTTGTAGTATTGTAGGAAATCTTTTTTTCCGTGTAGTGGGAATGTAACGACGCGCCTCGCAGCCTGTGTTGTAAACTGCAAAAATAACGGCAAAAATACGATGTAAGTTCTATATACAGGGCGGAAGATATCCATAAGGTCCACTCCGCCCATATGCATATTGTACTCCTGTACAATTTTGGGACAAGGCACTTTTACCTTACGTTTCTGTTTCTTGTCGAAACGCACGACTTTTCCCATTGGTTGAGAGCCTATGTAATTTGCGTTACTACTACCTTATTGTCCTTCCATACAGTTGCTGAAAAATCAACACCGTTTAACTGCGCCGTCCTTTCCTCGCGTGTGTTCCTCTAGGGACTGATGCTTTCATTAAGTCCTTGTCTGGTAGACGACAGTTTGGAAGTCTGTTTTGCTAGACAGTGCTGACGCAGTGAATCCCCTATTTTGTCAGGTAATATACACGAGACGCAAGGAAGTTTAGAAATTATAAAAAAATACAATGTGATTTCTCATCCTCGCCAAGCGTAAAACCACATTGTTCGTTACTCCTACCTAAGTCCGGTTCAGCTGCTGGTTTATCTTTCTTGCTATCTTGCCCAGAATAAATTTCGAAACGTTATGCGTACCCCATGAGACTGCACAAAACGAAGAGCTTGTATCCCCATTTATGTGGTTTATTTGGAAGATGCCGTAGACGTTAGAGGCGTTGGTCTCTATATCTATAGGTATCGATGAAAACGTTTCATTTAGGTGGTCAAACATCCCGACAACCAGACATCATGAGTCATGACATCCAGACATACATAAGTTTTAGATTATCCTTATCTCAGCTTGTTTTAGTCAAAAACTTGTAAATTCTTGAAGCTGAGTCATTATGTGTCTCGAATGGGTTACCTACGTGA